GCAAGGTACGATCGAGCGGCAAATACCGATGGGTTTCAAGAAGGGCAACTGGTACTATTGTTCAATCCACAACGGAAAAAAGGACTATGCCCCAAATTGCAAACACACTGGGAAGGACCCTACAAGATTGTCACGAAAATAAATGACGTCGTTTATCGCATCCAGAGGAGCGACAGTCCCAGGTCGAAGATGAAAGTTGTACATTTGGAGCGGCTGACCCCCTACGGAACGGGAACTGTGCCTATTCGGGACGAACAGGCTTAAGCGGGGGGCAATGTTACGAATATAATTTTAGATTTAAGTTAATTTCGATGAATTCCGTTAATTTAAGAATTTGAATTGTAACGTAAATTTCTACCACGCAGTTTATTCGAATAACTTCACAACAACAACTACTGCACAGATTTTTCTACATCCTTCCATTTCCTCTTTCATTTTCTATTTTGTTATTCACGTACAATTCTTGTTAAACGTCATCATTGATGATCGCTTAATTCCTCTTTCTTTGTTACTCCCTCGCCTGTATATGTGTTGTTGTTATTGTTCACTCAATGTAATTCATCTTTCTTTGTTACTCCCTCGCCTGTATATGTGTTGTTGTTATTGTTCACTCAATGTAAGTTTGTATGTGTTTGTTGCATTGGTAGATTGTTCGTAATGTAGGTGTTACCAGATCGTCTAGAAACTTCTGTAGCGACAGGCAAGGCTCATATAAATAGGGGAAAGGGCAAGGCAGTTAGTCAGTTGTGAATCAAATCGCGAATTGAAACCGTCAAGTAAAGTAAAGTGCAAAGTAAAGTTGTTTCAATAAAATCATTGTAATATTCGTAATCAGAAAGAACCCGCGTTTATTTAGTACGAACTGTATTGGGAAATAAAACAACGTCTACACGGCATTAAGTAAAATATAAGAACGTAACAATAAATGTTTGTCATAATCAATTTGGCATACTCTGTGCTATTTCCTGAGGTAGGCAAATTGATGACATTCATAGTCTTCGTGATTACTTCAATAATATCAAGAACACTTTGGAACTGATATTCATGTTAGTTTGGGGTATATTGGCTTTCGAGGTAGTGAAACTAAAATTAGTCAATAGCATACATATTCAAATGCAAGCGAAAGAAGCAAGAATTCTCATATTATTGTCATCAGATAAATAGACTAAGTGATTATATTGTTACGAATATAACTTTAGATTTAAGTTAATTTAGATGAATTCCGTTTTTTTTTAAGAATTTGAAATGTAACGTGAATTTCTACTACGCAGTTTATTTGAATAACTTCACAACAACAACTACTGTATAGATTTTTCTACATCCTTCCATTTCCTCTTTCATTGTCTATTTTTTTGTTGACGTACAATTCTTGTTAAACGTCATCATTGATGATCGCTTAATTCCTCTTTCTTTGTTACCCCTCGCCTGTATATGTGTTGTTATTGTTTACTCTCTGTAAGGTTGTATGTGTTTGTTGCATTTGTAGATTGTTCGTAATCTAGGTGTTACCAGATCGTCTAGAAACTTCTGTAGCGACAGGCGAGGCCCATATAAATAGGGGAAATGGAAAGTCAGTCAGTTGTGAATCAGATCGCGAATTGAAACCGTCGAGTAAAGTAAAGTGCAAAGTAAAGTTGTGTGAATAAAATCATTGTAATAATCGTAATCCGAAAGAACCCGCGTTTTATTTGGTACGAGCTGTATTGGGAAATAAAACAACGTCTACACGGGATTAAGTAAAATCCAAGATCGCAACAATATCCTGAAAATCAATCTTTATGATACTGAATAATTTTTCTTTTTTTTTTTTTGTATTTTCTTGATAAAAGTACTTTTCACATTTTTCATTTCCATCCCTAATGTCAGAAAGAATTTCAAACAAACCGAACGATCGTTGTTGTGTGGTCTCACTCGTTTTTTATGTGTGCACACACATGTGCGAACATTCTTTGGCGAATGCACGTTTAGTAAAGAATTTGTCGCCATAAATTCATTCGTAAAATGAACACAAAACGAAAAAAATGTGTTTTAAAACATATCCCAACAACTATTGAGTTCACGAACGTTTGTTGTTATTTTTGTTGCTGTTTTGAGAATTCGCGAATTTTGTTTTCATTCGTGAACAAATATCAGAAACAAATTCAACCACAAAACGAACGATCGTTGTAGTGTGGTCTCACTCATTTGTTATGTGTGTGCGAACATTAGTTTGGCGAATGCTCGTTTGAAAAAGAATTTATCGCGATAAATTCATTGGTAAAACCAGTAAACAAAGTAGTAAAGTCAGACTGGGCCGACTATATGATACCATTCACAACTTTGGGTATATCGTACATATGTACCCTTATAGTATGTTTACATTTAACCGGATTTCATTAAACCAGTGGGTTTCAATTGTCAATTCCTTTGCATACATGTCAAATAAATCCTCATAAAGTAGGTTAACCCGGTAAAAAGTTCTGCCGTTTTACAATAGCATGTCAATGTTCCCTCGAAGGAGCATACTCGTGTCTTTCTGCAACCTATGATACCTCAAATAATTTATTCAAGTCTCAATTTGATACGTTGCGCAAAATTTAGTGTTATTCGGACAAACATTAAGGGCTAAACAGAATGCTCGCGTTGAGCCATCCGTAGCGTTTTATGTTATCGAAAATACAACAACCACAAGGAAACGATATGCGTTTGTGTTATCGTTTCCTTGTGGTTGTTGTATTTTCGATAACTTATAACGCGACGGATGGCTCAACGCGAGCACTCTGCTTAGCCCTTTAAGAGTTTGGCGCACCATTTATGTAAAATCGGACAAATATATATGCATATGTGGGAGCTATATGGGAACCTGAACCGATTTTTCCGAAACTTATCACACATCATTCTAGATTCATTTCAGTACGCTTTGGTGCACCATTTACATAAAATCGGGAGCTATATCTAAATCTGAACCGATTTTCATGAATCTTAACGCTCATCGTTCTAGACTTAATTCATCGTTCTAGAGACTTTGGTGCATCTTTTACATTTATAGGGACTTTGGTGTATCTTTTACATAAATTGGACGAAAATATATATTAGAGCTATATCGAACTCTGAACCGAGCCACTCATCATTCTAGGCTTAATTCATTACGCTATGCCAAATTTTGTGTAAATCGAAGGAATCGAAAACGAATCGAATCGGACGAAAATATATATGGGAGTTATATCTAAATCTGAACCGATTTTCACGAAAATTAGCATACATTTTTATAGACTTAATTCAGTACGCCATGCCAATTTTCGTGCAAATTGAAGTATATATAAAGGGAATTTGGTGTACCATTTACATAAAATTGGACGAAAATATATATTGGAGATATATCTAAATCTGAACCGATTTTCACGAATCTTAGCACACATCATTCTAGACTTAATTCAGTACGCTATACCAAATTTCCTGCAAATCGAAAGATATATAGGGACTGAGGTGAACCATTTACATTAAATCGGACGAAAGTATATATGGAAGCTATATCTAAATCTGAACCGATTTTCACGAATCTTAACACTCATCGTTCTAAATTAATTATGTACGTTATGCGAAATTTCATGCAAATCGAAAGTAATATAGGGACTTTGGTGCGTCTTTTACATAAAATCGGGCGAAAATATACAGTGGTGATCACGCAATTAAAACATTTATTGTGGTAAACATTTTTTGATCAGCTCTCGATTCGTTTGAAGTACTTTTGAATATTTTTTATTCGGAGCACTTCGATATACTGCACCTCAGAGATTTAGTGTGAAAATAGAAAATTATTTCATGTAATTTTTCCATAAATAACGGTTTTTATGAAAATACATCGACTTTGAAGTGGCCACATAATTAAAACATTGTGTGATTTTTTACTTTACTTCATTTTTTTAAAATATTGTTAAATCTATCAAAATTGCCAAAAAAATTGTACAGTACACCTAAAATTCAGAAAATCATCATTATTATAGAAAATAAAGGTCCGAATGCACCAGAAATTGCTAGAATTAGAAGAAAACAATAAATAATTCTCAAAATAAATAAATATTTGAAATAAAAACTCAAAAATGGGAATTAACCTAAAGGAACGATTCAACTTCGAGACTTTATTGAAGAAGGTCGAAATATTTTTGCAGTATGTGAGAAAATATCGATTGATATTGGCATTTCTTATATCAAGTCGATTGTTCGAGTAGTACAGAATATATTTTATCAAAAAAAAAAAAAAAAATCAGTCACAACGGAACCAACAGAGATCAACTCCTATGTTGACGAGTTACAAACATGCCTGTTACAAACATATGCACAAAGTCATAATACCCTGTACCACAATGCGGTGAAGGTTATAATGAGCCCAAGACAAAAACGAATGTATTCTGAATCATTCGCGAGCGAATTTTTGTGCACCCTCCATAAAGTTTTTAAAATTCCTCTAAAAATGTGAAGTCAGTTATATAATGTAGAATGCATAATGACGATAATTATATTATTCAGAAATTACGCAAAATTGTGCCGGTTCTAGTAAATAAATGACGCAACAACCCTAAATCCTGAATCTTTTGTATGTAAATGTGCTTTTATTCGTGTTCACAATCCAGTCGATCATACTTGATGTATACGCAATGGAATTGACGTTTGAGATCGATTGGATTTCGTAAATCTAAAGGCAACATTACTGAGAGTTAATTCTACCTGCAGCTGTGCTCATACAGCTACCTTATTAAATCTGCTTTGATCATGATCAATATCACAGTACTATTGAAATGCAACACTGGCTTTATGCGGAGAAAAATACATCTCATAGAAGAAAGTACCAAAAGTTGCAAGTGTTAAAAGTAAGAAATTAAGTGATCTTATTGTTTTTTTTTTATACCATCGTTGTCAATTTGTTGTGGGAAGGAAATTGTTATTGTTGCTTTTCAGATTTGATACAAATATTTTAAACTGTATTCAAATATAGATAAAACAATTGTGCCTTTAGCAATCTATTATGAGCCGAGATGAAAACTTGTGCTGGTTTCATGGACGGCTATCTCGCGAGTCTGCGGAAGAAATATGCAAAAGTGGTAAATTAAATGGTATTTTTTTAATATGTATTTGATTTAATTCACATATTTTCAACATATGTAAATTTTTAAGGCGAGGAGGATGGTACATTCCTTGTCCGCGAAAGTAATACTGCTGCGGGTGATTTTGTGCTGACCTTGTTACACCAGGGCGAGGTTTGCCATTATCAAATAAGACGTCATGGGGAGGACGCGTTTTTCTCAATTGAAGATAAAGTAAAGATTTTGCATGGATTGGACACATTGGTTGAATATTACCAGCAATCGGCCAATGGCTTAGTAACCAAACTCACCAAGTTCATTCGGAAGGATCCGCCACCGAATGAAACACGTAGTCATGGAAATACCAACTTGCTTCATCGCGCAGTTATGAATAACAATCATATTGTTGTATCGGAACTCCTGAAGTGTGGCTATCGAAATGTGGATGCCAAAAATCAAAATGGGCAAACCGCTATGCATCTGGCTGCATTGTACGGTGATGAAGCTATGCTCAATCTGTTACTAAACGCAGGAGTAAATGTTAATTGTATGGATACGGATAATAACATGCCACTTCATGTAAGTTCGGAACTACGTTTATTGGACTTTAGATCTAATGGTTTGTGTATTTTTAGTACGCTGCCAGACATCAGCGTGGCAGCTTTATACAACTTTTAATAGCTGCACATGCCAATGTTCAGGGTCGCAATATTCGAAACGGCTATGTGCCTTTACATGAAGCAGCAAAACACGGCAATTTGGAAGCAGTAAAGGAATTGTTAAGGAAGCTAATCATGAAAAGGTGGTACAATATCTGGAGACATATAAATTGAAACCAGCAAACACAAATAGATCACAGTGGTATCACGGAACTCTAAATCGGGAAGAAGCAACGGAAGTTTTAAAAACGTTTGCAGCGAAGTTCCAAATAGAAAATACTACAACTGAAAACGGAATTCAAAATGCTAACGTCGATGCATCAGGTTGCTTTCTGGTTCGCTTTTCTGAGAGAAAAACTGCAGGAACTGGTTATGTATTAACCCTGCTATATGATAATGTTGTGAAAAATTTCATAATTTCACAGTCGGTAAGTTCAAATAATATGAAATATTCTGATCTATATTTTGTCCAAAATCAGGAGAAAATCCATGTTTGTAATTTATGTTATCAACAAAAGAGTAGGATTAGAACAGCTTGCCTATTTTAAAATAAAAAAAAACATCCCAAATTAATATTGATTATAGTGCGCATAGGTCATAATTAAATTAAAAAATAAGTGTATTTGATTTTATTTAAATTGTTACTGCAAGAATTTACTATTTTGTGTCGATCATAAAGGAGAAGTTATAAATAATTTCTACAGTATATTACCTCTATTAAGGTTCAATAGAAATAACAATGTGTTTTTTGATTGTTTTTAATGGTAATTTTCATTACAGCTGTCATTATTCAGTAGATTCCCACAAACACAAAAAACACACACACAATTTAAGTTATCTTATAAATGTATCCTATCATTTACAGTCAAAATTTTTATACATTGATGACGGGCCGTTCTTACCAACATTGGTTGAAAAGTCCCAAAAAGACCAGCATCTTAGAAAGTATGAGTACATTACGAAAAAGTAAGCTGAAACAAAAATCAATATCATGTGACGACAAACCACAAGTGCCCTGCAACGAGGAAGAACTCAAACAGGCTGAAACATTATTGAAGGACTTGTCCTTTTCGACAGATTTTGCAAGTTTAAATTTAATCAACAATAACGGTGGTCAAAATGAATTGTATAATGTTCCCAAAAATAATGCAGCAGTTAATAGTGATACTCTCACGTCATCTTTAGATTCTAAGATGAAACCTGAATCTAAAACTGAAGAAGAAGTTGAATATTTTACAAAAAGTGATGTTATTATTGAAAGAGAGCGAAATCAACAAATTCCAACCGAAAGGTAATATACATATACATATTGTCATTGACTATCATCATTATTGCATAGTTTTGGATTTAAAGGAATATTTTCGCAAAATTTACAAAATGTTGGTCATTTAAGTTAATTTACTTGGAAGCTTCGGCTTTGTTAATGTAATTGTGACTGAACCGAAAATTTTATTATTTTCAAGACATACATAATGAGGATTGATAAATTGGAAATACTGTCCATATTCAATTCGGTTTATTTTAAACAAATTGATTGTAATAATATTTTCCTTCCTTACAGTCTGTCGCCAAATGCAAATGGTTATATACCAACAGTAGATATTCGCGTCTTTGCCGAACCCTATATCGATGGTGATAGTTACATGACTAAAGATGAACTTGAAGCATCTGCAGCCGAACTCAGAGAGTTTTCACATAATCCAGAACGATTAGATTCGTTAATATTCACAACATCCAATGAAAGTGAAATGGTGCGATATCTAAATCGACAAACAAGTACAGCATCTGTAGAAACGTCCAGAGCTAGTTCAAAAGTAAATTACTTGATCCCACCTGATTGTCTTAAACTTGAATCGATAATCGGAGAAGGCGAATTCGGGTCGGTTTATCGAGGATATCAAATTCAAAGAATTGGAGGCGATATGAGACGTCGTGAGGTGGCCATAAAAACATTGCGTGACGAACACTGTCGGACAAATAAGCAGGAGTTTTTACGAGAAGCCTCCGTAATGATCCGGCTTAAACATCATTGCATTGTTCAGTTAATAGGAATATCGAAAGGCTCCACTTTGATGATGGTTCAGGAGTTGGTACCATTCGGTTCGATGTTACATTTCATATTGGACCACAAGGAGAAAATTAATCCTAACTATGAACTGAAATTGTGGGCTTCTCAAATAGCATGTGGTACGTAAAATAATCGAAAGTAACAACAATAGTATATTATAGATATTATTTTATAGGCATGCAGTATTTGGAGAAACATCACTTTGTTCATCGCGATTTAGCAGCTCGAAATATTTTGTTAGCATCAAGAAATCAAGCCAAAATAAGTGACTTTGGACTATCTCGAGCTTTGGGAAATGACAACGAATGTTATCAAGCCAGTCAAGGTGGCAAATGGCCCATTAAATGGTATGGTTAATAATGGCATATTGTCAATTATGTCTTAACTACTGTTGAATTGTATTTAGGTATGCTCCAGAAAGTTTTAACAATGGAATATTTTCACATGCCAGCGACGTGTGGTCATTTGGCGTCACCTTGTGGGAAATGTTTTCCTTGGGAGAACCTCCTTACGGTGACATACGTGGCGTGGACGCAATTAAATTGATTGAGAGTGGTCAGCGTTTGCCTAAACCCCCCCTATGTCCGGAACACATTTATGAAATAATGTTAAATTGTTGGAATTACAAAGCTAAAGATCGTCCCACATTCCGATATCTTACAGAATTTTTTGCGCGTGACCCAGATTATCAAAACATTTTAGAACTAGTTAAAACTGATCACATAAGTTGAAGAATACTCAATACAAATCTCTTTCTTTTTTCATTTTTATTATATTTTCATCGATTACATTCAAGTGCAATTCTATAATCATCGATATTTTAAGTGTACTTGTCCTTATTTTTTGAGAACGTGTGGTATTTTATCCTAGAGTATTAAACAATCCAATTCCATCATTTATTACATATATAAAATATGTATTTAAGTTATATGTGTTGCCGAAATTCGTGTCATTGGTATCTATTAAGTTTGATCTAGTTATAATGCAAATAAAATATTAGCAAAAAAATTTTTGATGTGTGTTTTATAGACTGAACAACATTGCACAGTGAATTTTTTTCTCATTCTCGCTTTCGAAAGCCAAAAAATCCGCTTTGGGGAAAAATTAGTTATTCTGATTACAGGGAGTGGGAGAATGTGATGACATTTTGTGCGAAATTTTTTCGCTAATAAATTTAAAGGCAGATGACTAGAAAAACATAAGTAATAAATATTTATATGAAAAATATTTACACAATACTTATTTTATGACGATTGAGAATATTATAAATGATTGTATGCAAATTTTTAACTCGAAAACAACAAATAAAATGCCATTGGAAATCCAAATATAGTCACGGAATGCATAAAGGTAATAAGAAATATTTAAGCTGAGTATGATGCATTTTGGAGGCGAAATAAAGACATTTACGGTGATGATCTGACCATTAAAAAATATATATATATCGTTAGTTAAATGCAAAAAGGCGTAACTAACAAAAAAATTTAAAATTGACTTTTTGAATGAATATTGTGAATGTCAATAAACTACATGTGTTGACAAAGTTTTACACGTCTGCGGTCAAAAAAAGGACCTTATATTAACAAAAAACAAAAAGACGTAACTACAAGTGGGTTTCGTTCCCACGACAATCGGATTTACGCTCCGGAACGACCCGAGTTCGACTCAGCCAGGGATTGTCAACTCAGCGACAGCTGTACAAAACGAAAGTTTTTTCCACAGGTGAGCAATTCATGTCGGCAGCTTTGCTCGCCATTCTTTTAATCCGTGCCGGCGTTGAACAAAACCCAGGCCCTGTTGTCTGGTTTTGTTCAGTGTGTCATCAACAGATCGCTGCAAATTCCACCTCTGTGCGATGCAATGTTTGCAACAATTGGTGTCACCTGAGGAGGTGCTCAGGTCTTACCTCACACCGCGACTGGTCACACAGCTTCATTGCCAGCTGTTGCCTGCAGCCTTCGACATCTAGCACCTTAACTCCAACAGCCCCGAGAAATTCCATCCCTTCTCAGCAACCTGCCCAGAACTCCAAGTGGACCTGTTCGGTTTGCGGGGAAATCATACGGAGAAATATGACATCTGTAAGGTGCAATGGTTGCAGAAACTGGTGCCATATGAGAAGATGTACCACGCTGCGTTCACACAGGAATTGAAATTCAGGCTTTGTAGCCGATTGCTGCACAAATAATCCAGCAATATCCGCTAGAATTCAGTGGAGTCCTTCCAGTACTACGGCTAGCACTCCGTCTAGTTTTCCATCCAGTACACTATAGGTAATTTGGACAGTTTTTAGGCAAAAAGTAATTTCTTCAATTTTGGAAAATAATATATTTGTTGGTGGCAATAAAAAGAAAACATCTCAAAATTTATGATTCTGTAAGATTTTTTGCGTAAAAGGGTCTTTAAAGCGGTGGAAATTGTTGCCAAACTCTACACTTTGAAAATAATTTTTTTTGTTTAAATTAAGGCTTATTTTAAAACGTTTGAAACCGCTTAATACAAATCATAAACATAAAAATTAAACATGGAGAGTATTGGCGGTGGCGTGTGCTGTTTATTTAATATATAATATTTGTTAATATGTTTGTGTAGCGATTCAAAGTTTACATAGTTGACTATAATAAAATAAATGCGTTTATTTTTTACACATAAGTCATTTTAGATAGACTTTTACTAAAATGTTTAAATTTGTCTGATCTTTTGACAACTGTAATATATAAATGAAAGTGTTCTAAATCGATTCCAATACGTCTCAAATTGCGATTTTTTGCGTTTTTCAAGATATATCCGTTTCTTGTAGAGAACTTCAGAATAGAAAACAATAAAATTTTCGATATTTGGCATGATGAAAGAAATAAAAGCAAAGAAACATATTGTTATTTACAACGTCCCCGCACGTAAAGTTGGCAATAACAGCAATATGGACGAAAAATAGTCTAATTAAAAGAGGAAATTAGGTTATTTTGCATGCATTTGTCAAAATAGACCAAATGTCATAGGAAGATACAACATTTCCGCGAAAAAAAACTAATACACTCCAATTTTGATTACAAAATAAATAACATGACTCGTAAACCGCAAATAGGTTGTTGAAGGAAAGATTATGAGAAAAATTCTAAAAAGTAGAGAAGAGGAAATGGCGGGCTGGGGTTCCCCTTAGAATGTAAACCACCAACATTTACTTTTTTCAGCATTGATTAAAAATAAAAAAGTGGTATATGAAAACATTTTGTTCAGTATATCCAGTGTTTACTATAATCGTGTTCGACTGTAGTACACATGGTTTTATCTCACTTTTACATATTGTTACGAATATAACTTTAGATTTAAGTAAATTTAGATGAATTCCGTTAATTTAAGAATTTGAATTGTAACGTAAATTTCTACTACGCAGTTTATTCGAATAACTTCACAACAACAACTACTGTATAGATTTTTCTACATCCTTCCATTTCCTCTTTCATTTTCTATTTTGTTATTGACGTATAATTCTTGTTAATCGTCATCATTGATGATCGCTTAATTCCTCTTTCTTTGTTACCCCCCTCGCCGGTATATGTGTTGTTGTTATTGTTTACTCAATGTAAGGTTGTATGTGTTTGTTGCATTTGTAGATTGTTCGTAATCTAGGGGTTACCAGATCGTCTAGAAACTTCTGTAGCGACAGGCGAGGCTCATATAAATAGGGGAAATGGAAAGGCAGTTAGTCAGTTGTGAATCAGATCGCGAATTGAAACCGTCAAGTAACGTAAAGCTGTAAAGTAACGTGCAAAGTAAAGTGTGTCAATAAACTTATTGTAATAATCGTAATCAGAAAGAACCCGCGTTTTATTTAGTACGAACTGTACTGGGAAATAAAACAACGTCTACACGGGATTAAGTAAAATCCAAGAACGTAACAATTGGTGTCGGCAGTGAGATTACGATAATACTACGATGAAGTTTAAGGATCTACGAGTGGAAGACTTGAAGAAGGAGCTCAATAAATTGGAATTGTCCTGTACTGGCAACAAGGCTGAGCTACACAAACGACTGTTGGATGAGTTCGAGCGCCGTGGTATGAACATCGATACATATGAGTTTGACAGTAAGGATGAAGTGGATTTATCGGAAATGGGCGAATCCAACGGTGGGAAAGTCTCGTCAGTAGCTGTCAGGGGTGACGATTTAAGAGAAATGCTGGCTAAAATGTTTGAGGAAAATTCTAGAAGGAGCGAAGAGAATTTCAGAACGTTAGAAGAAAATTCGAGAATAATGAACGAGAAACTCGAGAACATTACAGAATTTATTGGAAGGAGAGTGGAGGTCCAAATTAAAGAATTGGATAAGAAAGTGCAGTCGGTTGACGAGAAAATTCTGTCTGTGGATGAGAAATTTCTGGCCCACGACCACAGGTATAGGAATCTGGAGAAGAAAATGTCGGAACTGGAAATCAAAGGTGGTCCGGTGCGAGTTCCTGATAACGCACTAAAAATCAAACCTCCTGTATTCGACGGTTCTACGTCATTCAATGTTTTCAAGTTACAGTTCGAGACAGTGGCTTCTAGAAATTCGTGGAACGACAGCGACAAAGCGGTTGCACTACTTCTGGCATTGAAGGGCAGTGCTGCTGATGTTATACAGAGTATTCCTGTCGCTTCTAGAAACAACTAGAAACCTATTGGGCCCAGTGGGACAGTCTACTTATAAAAGATGGTTGCCTATATCGCAAATGGGAAAGTGAGGACGGTAAATCTCACCGGAACTTGATCGTCGTCCCAGACTCCAAAATAAGAGATGTCTTGTCGGAGTTTCACGATGGGCCAAGTGGAGGACATCTTGGCATAGCAAAAACCGCTGAAAAGGTAAAGCAGAGATTCTACTGGGTCGGCTGTCAAAAATCCATTGCCGACTGGATCGCCAATTGTGAGCTAAGAGCTAAAGGTCCAACACGGAAGAGTCGAGGCTACATGCAGCAGTATAATTCAGGAGCCCCTTTTGAAAGAATCGCAATGGATGTAGCTGGACCGTTCCCAACAAGCGACTCTGGGAACCGGTATGTCCTAGTGGTCATGGATTACTTCAGCAAATGGCCAGAGGTTTATGCTATCCCAAATCAAGAAGCCAGGACAATTGTGGATGTGTTCAGCATAAATTGGATTTGTCGCTATGGTGTTCCATCTGAGGTTCACTCCGATCAAGGTAGGAATTTGGAATCGGCGATCTTCAAGGAAATGTGCGACTCCTACGGAATCAAGAGAACCAGAACGACACCCCTAAATCCACAATCAGATGGCATGGTGGAATGATTCAATCGCACCCTGGAAGAACATCTACGGAAAGTGGTGGACAGTGGCCAACGAGACTGGGATGAGCATATTCCAAAGTTTTTACTGGCTTATAGATCGGCCATTCATGATTCCACATCCCGGACCCCAGCCAAAGTTCTGTTCGGAAATGAATTAAAGCTACCTGGCGATTTGATATTCGGTGCTACCCCAAACGACGATGCGAACCAAGATGAAGGCAGTCAAGACTCTTTTAGTAAAGTCCATGATGCAGTTCGCCATCGAATAAAAATGGTTAGCAACCGCATGAAGGCAAGGTGCGATCGAGCGGCAAATACCGATGGGTTTCAAGAAGGGCAACTGGCACTATTGTTCAACCCACAACGGAAAAAAGGACTATGCCCCAAATTGCAAACGCACTGGGAAGGACCCTACAAGATTGTCACGAAAATAAATGACGTCGTTT